ATGAAAGATCTAATCTGGCACTTCTCTGAATTGCAACATCAGGATGAATATAGGAACAGTGGATAGGGATGATGACATTTTGGGCAGACCAAAAAATATCTTTAAATGCATTTATTAGACTAGAGTATTCACGTGTATATGTTGCATGTTTAGTCAGAGTTTTGCCTTTAATATGACACTACAAGAAACAGAATATTTTGGTGTTGTGAACAGGTACCTGAAATCCATTTCCATAAGTATTAGAAGTTAGAATCCTGTTTCCAGATGGGAGCATGCCCAAAGCAAGGAATCCCTGTGTGCCCCCAGGAAACAGCTTTGTGAAAAGAGCCTGAACAAACCAGAACATTTCTAGCCCAGTTCAGACTTTATTATTTAGGCATGGAAAGATTAGAGTCCCATCCTGACCAATACCTTAGTTGTGCTAAAAAAACCAGTCAAGTCCAATCTATTTAATGCACTATTTCCAGGAGTAATGATTAGGTCCTGCTATTTAACTAATCTTATTTGGGTTTGAAATCTAATGAGGACAACATATAAGGTACTTAATTTTATACATTTACAGTATGGTAGCACATAATTCTAATTCACTAATTTGATTGACCTAAGTCTATAAATACAAAATATTTTTAATAGCATCTAACATATACTCCTTTCTAATATTTGAATGTGTAAAGAGAAGGGATGAGACAGCAATCTGAGTGTAGCAATACGAATACAGCACAAAGGTTCCCAATTCTACTTTATCTTTCTAATATTAAGTATCTATGTGGTTTTTGTGCCAGGGGTATTATAGTTGTTTATATATGTCTGTGTATAGATATATAGATATAGATAGATATAGATATATCCTAATATCAAGTCAGCTTGGGGAGTTTCCTTCTGAGGGGGAAACAAAATCAATCACAAAATTTGATTTGACCTGACGGGCCCTTGTTGTGTTTTCTGATTATTGCTATGGGGTCTGGAAAGGCCTAAAAGAGCCCTGAGATTATAAGCTAACTTAAAAAAAAAAAAGCTATTCATACTACCCTGTAGAAAAGTGGTTGTTCAGTGACCTCTTATTTGGGGCAAGAGAGATAGAGCAATTTATTGATTGAGTCATCCATGAGTTTAGGATTAGGACTATAGACCAGTGAGTTTTAGGATTCAGAACTGATAGCAGACCACTGGCAGATGCCAGGATTAACCAGCCAGTGACTAGGTTGGCTTTTGATGCATTAGGAGCAATGGATGAATTGGTTATACGTATATCTAAATGATATGTGTTGGTGGTACATTAGTACTTGGTATGAGACTCCAATATGTAACATTATCTCAATAGTAGTCTATAGCAGTTAATTTTGCTCTGGGTCTCATGTTTTGTATGACCTATGTACTTGCTCTATAGTACTGAATCAGGAGGTGGAATGACGTGGTGAATAGGACACTCTATTTGGAGTCAGAAATATAAGGTTCAAATCCCAGCTTAGAAATTGATTAACTGTAGGATTCAGGGCAAGTTGCTTAAATTCTCTGCTTCTGTTTCTTCAGATGTAAAATGATGGGGTTAGACTCAATGGCTTCCAAGGTCCCTTTCAGCTCTAAATCTATGGTCCTATATGCTTAGAAATGTTTCTAAAAGTGCTATTGCTATATATACTATGTCTTTTGCATGTGATTTATGTGGTTTATTGCAAGCAACTTTAATGTGGATTAACCTGCAATGTACCTTTCTATATACTGTGTATTTGGGACAACTATTTAGGACCATGTTATTTGGCAATTTATAAATGTTCATAATATGTGCTTAATGCATGCATCAGTTAGGTGGTACAGTAGATAAATCACTGGGAGAGGATTCAGGAAGTTCTAATCTCAGATACTTTAGCTGTGTGACCCTAGGCAAGTCACTTAACCTCTCCCAAACTCAGTTTCCTCAACTATAAAGTGGGTATAATAATAGCAACTACTTTGTAGGGTTGTTGCAAAGAACAGTTGAGATAATATTTGTGAAAAAGCACTTAGCATATTGCCTTACACATAGTAGACATTATATTAACATTTATTCCCTTTCCTTCCCTTTTCTTTCACTTTCCCTCTTTGTGCTCAGTGCTTGGGAGAATACTTCTCTACAACCAAAGCCATTTCTTGCTATGTCCCTTTCTCAGCAAAGCTGTGAGCTACTTCTTCACTGAATAGCTATTTCATCTTAACTGAAGTGTTCTCTTTTGCTTCTCTGCTGAATTCCAGCTGCTGCATAACCTCTTCCCCACAGTGAAATTCTAATAGCTCTTTACTGAGTTAGTTCCTGGCCTCGGGGATATTTCAGCACTTTTGAGAATCAGGCATTTAGCTGTACTGCAAGTACAGACAGTATCACAAGAGACCTCCAAGTCGAAAATGTCTCTTTTGACTGATGTTATTTCCAACTCTGTGGGGACAGTAGTCTGAATTTGGGGGAAGTATTGGCCCATTTAGATTTGTACCAAACACTAACTTTTGTAGAAACTCACTAGCAGCTACAAGAAAAACAAGCATGGTCTCCAAAACCTGTGTACTTTCATTTTCTGTTTTTAGAACTCCCTTAGAACTTCCACTGAATATTTGAATTGAGTTGAATAAATCCCTCTCATATCTCATCAGGCCTCTGGCAACATTTTCCAGCACCATGCAGATGACCCTAAAGCTTTACTCTAGCAATACTGGAAGAGTAGGAGCCGATTATCTTTGACCTGCCTCCTATAACCACTCCCAAATTACTCCTCTCTCTTAGAAAAGTAATCATATTGCCTTATAATTGTATAGTGTCTTCATTCCTAAAGATATAAAATGCTTTCACAATTAGTAATCTTCCAATTTTACCTTCCCCAAATCCTTGTGATATTGATAGCAATATTTGTATTTTACTGAAGAGAACGTAAGACAGAGAGAATTTGTCCGAAGTTATCTAATGGAAGAGCCAGGGCTAGAACCCAAGCTTTCAAATGTCCAGATGGATGTTCATTCCCCTAAGTTTGAATCATCAGATCAAACATTTGGAGGCAAAATCCTTTTTGGGTTTTGGCAATAAGCAAAACATTTTAGGGACCTATTTAATTATTTTGTGGATAAATCCCTAGAGTCCCTGAAAGTGGCTGATTTGATGGCCAAACTTCCTCATTTCTGAGTAACTTGCGGAGCTTGTAGCTACTCATGTGTAAGTATAGAGTAAAAGGAGCATATATGTCGCTGTTAATTCTGTTTACAAAGAGTTGCCCTCGGTGTAATTTATTGTAGTGCTTGTATTTGCAGCACTGCTTCTGCCAATGAGTTCCAGCCATAAGCCAACTCAGTAGCAAGCTGTCAGGAGCCTAGTTCACAAGAAAAAAGATTCAAACCGGTTTGGATTATCAACATCAAAAGAGTAAAAAATAATTTTTTTTTAAAAAAAGAGTCAAATCAGTTAGGATGTTTCAATAGAACTAACACGGTATAGGGAAATGGTAAAATTGATGGATTTTGTCAAAGCTAAGACTGAATGTATGGTTGGCTAGATAGTCACCAAGTAATCAGTTATACCCTCTCATTTGTCACTTTAAAAGTACACAACTTCTACAAAGTTGCCTTTAAAAAATTATGCAACAGATACTACCTTTGTTAAGCCTCAGAGTACTTAATAAAACAATCGAGCCTGCATCGGTATCACCTAACACACTTTCCCACCAGAAGGTCACAGAAAAATCGTAAAGAACAAATAGCCCACACCTTATTAGCTAGGAAGTTAAAAACCAAACCAATACTTAATAAATTAAATATTAATCCTGACTTCAGGAGAGTGGATATGTGTAGACAATTTAGGTAAATACCTCACATGTTGTTCTATGGTGATACTTTGTCTTCCTAGAATACCTGGAAGCCTCTGAAAACTAGTTGTGAAGAAACTCTGTGCTTATCAAAAAGAAAAGCTGGCCAGTCCTGGAAAGGGATTTGGTACACTGTGGATAGGTGTTTATACCTGCAACTCTCAAGTGAAAGCTAGTGCGTATTATTGGTTACTAGCTGGGACAAGAGGGGCAGCTATGTGGTACAATGGGTAGAGTGTCAGCCCTGTAGTCAGGAGGACCCGAGTTCAAATCCATCCTCAGACACTTACTAGCTGTGTGATTTGGGGTAAGTCACTTAACCCTGTTTGCCTCAGTTTCCTCATCTGTAAAATGAACTGGAGAAGGAAATGTTAAACCACTTCAGTATCTTTGCCAAGAAAACCCCAAATGGGGTCGGTCACGAAGAGTCAAACACAACTAATTGACTACACAACAAACTCAGACACGGGCCTACAACCCTGTGTAGATGCCTTAATATTCTTCCAATATTCCTAAGCCTGTTACTGGAAAATATATTTTGTGCAAAGGGGAAAAAAAACAAACAAACTTGATCTTGTTCCTAGCTGAAATCCCTCCCTATGATAAAATGCATCCTTTTCTAAGAGAATGCATTACTATACTTCTAATTCTGGTGGTCTCTTTGGAGACCACATTTTTTTTTTCAATTATTTTATATTGCTGAAATAGTTGATTGAATGATTATACCACTTTAAAAAAATAAGAAGACAGGCTTCAGATTTCTTAAAATGAGTAAGAAGAACTGAACTCAAGTATCTCTGAGTGGATAAAGAAGGGTCAACAGCTGTTTTCTGAGCATATGCTGAGCAATTCCCTTAAACCTCTAAAGTACTAAAAGGCAAATATATTGGTTAAAAATTGCTCAAGCCTGATAAAATTGCTAGTGGTATTAGCGGCCAGCTATCAAATAAAGTGAAGAGAAATTATATGAAGACCTTGTGTACCATATTGGAGCAGTATCAATCTCACATCAGTCCTGATATTAAAACTGTATATCATCCCCTCTCATTTGCGTGCTCTCTGGACATAAAATAACACAATAATTTTACCCAGTTCTTAAATTAATCCTTCTTCTACCCCCCCTCCTTTTTTCAGTTACAGTAATCATTTCCTCCTTCCCTGAGGACAGACGGAACTTACGTTCTGATGACAATCAAGAAGCTGTATCCAATGCACATGATTCCCACCAGAAAGTAGGAGAGAGGCATCCTGAAATTCATGGCTCCAATTGTCCGTTTATTGTCGTAATAGCCATAAAAGAGGACAGAATATTGTGCCATACCCTAAAACCCAAGGAGAAAGAGGCCTGAAAGGAGTATCATTAAAAGCAAAAGAGAACAACAAAACATTTATTTTCAAACTTGGGTTATGACTCAGGGCATGAAAGCCATTGTTTTTCTTTGGAGAATGAATAGTTTGGCTGCCTAGCTGATTGGCAACATTAACGTATTCAAAATTAAAGCATTTATAAGCAGATACAAGTTTTGTTATTGCTGTTGTTTTTTCAGGCAGAGAGACCTGTTCAGCTGAAAATATAAGACCATTCCCATAGCACTATTACATTGATCAAGCAAGCCATCAATCAACAAACACTTATTAAAGCCTACTGTATGCCAGGCACTGTGCTAGGCATTGGGGATAAGAAGACAGAAATGAAAGAATGCCTGTCCTCAAAGAAGATCACATTCTGTTGGTAGAAACAATACATGCATATATTAATATATAAAGAGAAGATAATGATTGCGCAGTAGAGAGAGCACCAGGCCTGGAGTCAGGAAGACCTGAGTTCAAATCTGGCCACTTACTAGCTGTGTGACCCTGGGTAAGTCATTTAACCCTGTTTGCCTCAGTTTCCTCATCTGTCAAATGAGCTGGAGGAGAAAATGACAAAACACTCCAGAATCTTTGCTAAGAAAACCCCAAATGGGGTCACAAAGAGTCAGACACCAATGAAATGACTGAATGACAACAACAGCAAAGAGTACTACATCTGGTCAGAGTCTGAAAAGGCTTTATGTAGAAGGTGCTTTTGAGTGTTTGTTCACTAGTAGAAGTACAGTATTGTAAGTGAAAGATGAGACCACTTCCTCCAAAGTCTACAACCTCATTCCTAGTCACCTAGCTAGTCAGTCACCTGGAGTCCTGAGATGTGACTTGTATATTCTCACTAAGGCACATTGATTATATTAATTCAGTCCCAAGCAGGATGGGTGACATTTGGGTGTCTTTCATTTTTTCTCTTCCTCAAGATATGAAAATGAACATATTAACTTATTTCTTCCAATTCAATTTTTCATCATTAATTCATTCAATCAGTAAAAACAAAAATTTATTTTGCAAGATACTAGACTGAGAAGGATTTTTTAAAAAAGTAAATCCAAAATAAGCCCTATCTTCCACTGAACTTACAATTTGGCAAGCCAGGATTAAGATATATGCAGAAGTATAGTGACGTGAGCAAAGGACAATGCAGAGTTTTTCCCACTACCCAAATCAACTGGAATTTTGAGAAACATGACTATCCTCCTATATTCCCAGTATCAAACCTCAGAATCATTTGTAACCCTTCCTGCATTTAAAACATTACCAAATTCCAGTGCTTATTTCTCAAAAATACCTCTTTAAAACACACACACACACACACACACACAGATTGAGAGAAAGAGAGAGACAGAGACAGAGACAGAGAGAGACAGAGACAGAGAGAGAGAGAGACAGAGAGAGAGAGAGAGAGAGAGAGAGAGAGAGAGAGAGAGTGTACTGGCCAGTCTGTATCCAAACTAAAATACCTGATGCGTATCCATCCAACTTTTACTTAAATACCTCTTGTCTTATGTTAGGTTAACTCTGTTAGAAGTTTCCGTTTTTCTTTCATCAAGCTTAATATGCCTCTTTATAACTTTAACCTATTGCTTCTATTTCTATTCTCTGCATCTAAGAAGAACAAGTATGATTCTCCTTGTCCATGAAAACCCTTGCAGTATTTGAAGAAAGCTCTTATGTCTTCCTCTGCCCCCAACCAAGTCTTCCCTTTTCTAGGCTAAACATTCCTAGCCACTTAGTATGGGGGAGAAGAAGAGGGGATGTGTGGAAAAATAAGGAAAATAAACCCAAAAAGCTGGTAACATAGAAGATAAATTTGCTTCCCTTTACAATTTTGCCTCAGGCCAACCTTGATTTGTTCAAGCAGCCTAGAATAGGTCCCAAAATATATCACTTTCCATAGACTGTTGCCATTACCACCACTATGTTTTCTTTCCTTCTCTTAGTTAAATCTAATGCTGCATAGGTATTGAAAATAATCTTGAGACAAAGTAGAAATTATGAGCGGGGATTCTAGACCTGGGGGTCTATAAATTTCTTTCTTAAAAATATCTTGATAACTGCATTTCAATATAATTGGTTACCTTTGTGGTCCTATGTATTTTATTTTATGTGTTTAAGAACTTCTCCTCCACCCCTGCAAAGTTCACAGGCTTCAACAAATTTCTAAAGGTGTCCATAACACCAAAAAAAAAAAAAAAGGTTAAAATTGAAGCTGAATAAAGAATTATCAGAATTATCAAAAAGTTTTAACTTCTGAAGGGTAAGTGTAGGCCAAATCTCAGGGAAAATCATGGAAAGGTAATTGGTTACTATAGTGACTCACAGGCGAGTTATAGCTTCCTATTTTAACTAATTATTCATCATAGTACCCTAAGATCGTACATCTACACTTAGAAAGGGTCTCAGAGGCTACCTAATCCAACCTCATTTTACAGATAAGGAAACTGAAATCCAGTGAGGTTAAGTTCCTAGGTAGTAAGCATCACAGGTATGATTTGATTCCATAGTGTCTTTTCCATTATTTCAAATTTTTTATGAAATGCTAATCTCAATTGCTTCTAAACTGATGAGAGAATGTATGTGTTAAATTTTGCACCCTCTAAAGGTCAGTATCCTATGTAAAAGTACCAGTGGCCCCACCCTCATTAAAGGTTCTACCATAAACATATATTCGGTGAACCACAATTTTCTTCTCTCTATCAGTCTTTTATATTGTGACTGTTCTTTTTATCAAAAAACCTTCATAAGATCATAACAATAATAACTGATATTTTATAGGAATTTTCCCCCAGAGCTCTTCAAATCATTGAATTCAAATTCAATCAATATACTTCACCTAAGCACAGAACTAGCCCTGTTAAAAAAAAAATTAAAAAGTTCTAAAATGAGTTGAATTAAATTGTGACAGATTGAGCATAAAATGATTTTGAAACCACTGTTTACTCTAAATCCATATAAAAATCAAGTCACTTCTACAGTTTGAAAAGGATTCAGAATTTGATGGTGGTTGCTACCTAATGACATTGGCAAAGCTGTATATTATGTACAAAAACATATACGGACAGGTACAGACCATATCATACTGAAGCAAGCAGTTTCATAAACTCTACTATATGTATGAATGTAATTGTTGCCCAAAGTATGTAGACTTTCCCAGTAGGCCATCACAAAGTTAAAAAAGATTCATTCATGGTGCTATGTTATTGAACACAATGGAAAATTACAGAAATACGAAGAACAATAAATTTGAAGAAAAAGGAAATATGGAAAAGACTTGTGAATGATGGAAAGTAAACTCACCATTACCAGAGCAGCGTATATGTAGACTATAATTACATTTTGAAGAAAAGAAAACTAAGTGAAAAGCAACAGAGTTTCAGAGAGATTTAGAAGAAAACCCAAAGTAGCCAAAGTAAGCGTGTGTGTGTGTGTGTGTGGGGGGGGGTGTGTGTGTGTGTGGTGTGTGTGTGTGTGTGTGTGGTATGTGTGTGTGTGTTTATTGGAGGCAATTTGGGTTAAGTGACTTGCCCAGGGTCATACTCCTAAGTATCTGAAGCCAGATTTGAATTCAGGTTTTCCCGATTATAATGACAGTGTTCAATCCACTGTGCCACCTAGCTGCCCAAAAACATATGTAATTTTTAAATTTATGTTGCTAAGATGTGCAGTATAATATTTGTGGAGGCTTTCTCCCATATCTAATTAAGATATAAATTGTTTAAATACAGATTTTTCTTCTAGAGTTCTACCTCATGCTTGATTATATTATTGGCTAATTGTTACTGGTTTTAAATATCAAGTTTAAAGTAACAATAATAATCATAATTTCTCTAAGAAGATTCATTCATGGTCTAGCCAACTAAATGTAACTATCCTCAAGTGATCACCTCTGGGGAGGATTTGTTATTTTATAAAGATGAACATACCAGCCACCAACACAGATCAAATGCCCTTAATAAACCTTGGTAAATGGTCTTCGTGAGTAACATTGGGGCAAAAAAATCCATCACCCTATAATTAACTTGGTTATAAACCTCTTCAACCTTAGCAGTATATAGTAAGCCAGACCTTTATAAAACTTCACTTCAATTAATTTAGAGGTCTGCCATGATGGCTTTCACAACGTGGCTCAATTCAAGCATAAAAGTAAATCTCTCCTTCATGAAGGCAGTGATAATTACAAGTCTTTAAAAAATGTTTTTTCTTTGTATTGCAATTTATTCTTTTGATTAATCAATAATATGGATTAGACAGAGTCTGAATTCATGTTTATCTTTGTACCACCTATGAAAACAAGGGTTTGTAAGCAAAGAAATGTAAAGGTATTTTAAGATAAACGTTTAACTTAATTAAGAAAAGGAATGTAAGGGGGAAGAAAAGATTTCATAACATCTTTCCTTCATACATTTACTATCTGTGCCAATTTGGCAAGTCAATTCACCTCTTACAGACTCAGTTTCCTCTTCTGTAAAATGAAGGATTAGATTGGATGACCTTTAATGCCTTATCCAACTCTAAATCTATGATCCTATGTTCAGTTAAATGGCAGGTAGACAGAGCAGTTAATAGAGTATTGTACGTTGAGTCAGGTAGGCCTGAGGGCAAATCCAGCATCAGACATTTACTAGCAATGAGACCCTGAACAAGTTACTTAATCTCTGCCTCAGTTTCCTCATGTGCAAAACAGGGATAATAATGGCACCTACTTCTCAGGGTTTTTATGAATATAAAATGAGATAATATTTGTGCATTGCTTTTCAACCCTTAAAGTGCCATATAAATGGATATATATGTATATATATATGTATATATATATGTATATATATGTGTGTGTGTGTATATATATATATATATATACACACACACATACATATATATGTATGTATGTATATTACTGAAGATGGTTAGTTACCTGGATTTATTTCAGCTTCATCTATACAACTTTAATAGACCAGAAGTGGGCCCACAAAATCAAGGCAGAAACATTCAAAACCACTTTACTTCTCATAATGACCTGCACATCAGATTGTTTGACCATTCTAACAAAAGACAAATAGGAAAAGCTTTGGGGGCTGAGTTGTTTATGGTGAAGTGAAACAAAATTGGGTAGGAAAAGGTTAAAAGGAGAAATTGTCTTATAAAAATGGGGCATGAAAATAAGAACTAATACAGAGGAAGCAGGTAGGGGTGGAGGGCTAGTAATATTGGAACCTTCCTCTCATCTGGGTTGAAGAGGGAAAAAATTATACATTTGAAGAGGTTTAGAAGTCTTCTGAATTTTTAGAGAGGTGAAAAAACTGGGGGATAGAATGGGGGAGGGACTTTTAGAAAGGTGTATAGATTAAGTTTAGGAGAGTACAGCGAATAGATAAGGGAGGGATTTTTAGAAGGTGGGCAAAACATTGTGTCAGAATACAGTCGCACAAGTACAAAATATAATAGTTAGAATAGGAGATCTATGTGGCAGAGAAGTGAGAGACAGGTTGAAAAGGCAGGTTGGAATGAGACGAGACAGGACCTTGATTATCAGGCTGAGAACTAGCATTTTTCCCAAATGAATTTCTTTTGCATTTACACAGATCTTTCTTCTTTAAGGTAATTCCATTCAGCTCCACAAACCTGTATTATTCTTATTATACCAAAGGCACAGGTAATAAAGAGTTCATATTTCAAAAAAAAAAAGAAAAAAAAAGAAGGTGGGCAAAACAAAGAATAAGAGGGTAAGGGGAGAAGATAAGGTAACAGCGATAGGGTAAAAAGAGAAACTAAGAAGGAAAATAGTGAGTAAAAATAAGATGGAGGGAAATTCACAAATAGTAATAATAACTTTGAATGTGAATGAAATGAACTCACCTATAAAACAGTAATGGATAGCAGAATAGATTAAAAATCAGAATCCAACAATATGTTGTTTACAAGAAACACATTTAAAAAATGAGATACACATAGAGTTAAAATGAAAGGTTAGAACAGAATTTATCATGGTTCAGCTGATGCAAAAGAGGCAGGGGTAGTAATTATGATCTTAGACAAAATTATAGCTAAAATAGATTTAATTAAAATAGATAAACAGGGTAACTACATTTTGATTTTTAAAATGGTACCACAGATAATGAAACAATATAATACTGAACCTCTACACCAAATACTATAGCATCAAAAATTTTTAAAGAGAAGTAAAATAAATTACAGGTGGAGATAAATAGTAGTACTATAATAATAGGGACTTTAATTTTCCCCTCTCAGAACTAGATAAATCTAAACAAAAAATAAATAAGAAAGAAGTTAAGGAAGTGAATAGAATTTTAAATAAACTAGATATGATAGATATCTGGAGAGATTTGAATAGAAAAAGAAAGGAATACACTTTTTCTCAGTGGTTCATGGTACCTTTACAAAGATTGGCCATATATTAGTACTTAAAATTTTTATATTTAAAAGTAGAAAAGCAGAAATATTAGAAATATCTTTTTCAGATCATAATGCAATAAAAATTATATTTAAAAAAGGACCAAGGAAATAGATTAAAAATTAATTGGAGATTTAGCAACCTAATCTTAAAGAATGACTGGGTTAAAGAACAAATCATAGAAATAATTAGTAATTTCATTAAAAAGAATAACAATAATGAGACAACATATCAAAACCTATAGGATACAGTAAAAGCAGTGATTAGAGGAAAATTCATATCTCTAAATGATTCCATCAATAAATTAGAGAAAGAGCAGACATGAATTGGATATGCAATTAAAAAACTAATTAAAAATACCCAATTAAACACCAAATTGGAAATCCTAAAAATTAAAGGTAAGATTAATAAAATTGAGAGTAAAAAAAAATATTAATTAATAAATGAAACTAGGAGTCAGTTTTATGAAAAAATAAAAAATATATAAATAATTGTTTAATTTGATTTTAAAAAAAGGGAAGAAAATCAAATCAATAGTATTAAAAATAAAAAAGGTGAATATACTATTACCAATGGTGTCCCCCTACAAAAAAATTTCTGGCTTTTTATTTTCATTACTCTTCCCTTATGGGTGACAAGTGGGCCCTAATCCCATTTCACCTTTCTCTGTCACATCTTCATGGACTTCTTGATATCCTATGCTCTTGTGAGTGCATTCCCCCTACTCTGGGGTTCTCTTCCAGACAATGTCAACCTTTTCAGCATCAAGTGGTCCAAGTGGGGCCAAACAATATGCACAAGTAAGATCTGGAATACATACTTGGCATGGGTAAAAAAAGGAAAATAAAGAAGGGGAGAGTGAAAAGAGATGGAAAAGGGACAGAGAGGAGAAATAAGATTTAAAAAAAAAAGAGAAAGGCCCACCTTGTGTAGGTGGTAGACTTCATGTCCTTCTTGGAAATATTGGTTCCATTAGGTTATTGTGCTTATTCTGTACCTTGATTGGAGCCAGGACTAGAAATTTCAGTGCCCAAGGAAAGCATTACAAAACAGCCCCAGGGCAAGCTGCATGAAATATGCTCTTATATTAACTTTTAAAATTAAATAAAATCAAGGTTGAAAGAGGTGGTGGAATAAGGCAGATAAAGTTGGGGAGGAGTTCTCAGGCCAAAAGGCAACTTTCTATTTTTAACAAATTATTCTTGCTCTCTGTTAAGCACATTATTATTATTTTTTTTTTACTGCTACTAAATAAGTATCATCAGCACACTCTAAATGTTTTTGACCTGGGATTAAGCCTTGATCACCCTGCCCTGGTTACGACTGATTATTTTCTTCTCTCAGAAACTAGGAACCTCTCTTAAAAAGTATGCTTATATCACTGCTCAAATCAGTGTGCTGCTCCCTTCTTTCCTTCAGAGCCAATGGTTTCTTGTGTTGAGCATTATTTAGATTTCAGAAGGTTAGAGAAGCAACATAGTGTAAAAGCATAAGATTTTAAGAGAGAAGACTTAGGTTTAAATCCCAACTTTGTCATTTACCATATAGATAATAATAATAATAATAATAATAATAATAATTAATATTTACATATTGTTTGAAGGCTTTCAAAGTTCTTTACACATATTATCTCATTTGATCCTAATAACCCTGTTGCTGCTATTATGCCCATTTTGTATATGAGATGAGGTTGATAGAGGTTAATCAACTTGCTTAAGGTCACACAGCTACAAAATCTCTGAGGAAAGATGTGAACTCAGTTATTCCAGATTCCAACTCTAGGACTCTATCCACTACACCAGTCTCCAGACTCATGCAAATCACTAAAAACCTTTATGAGGGAATTACAGTAGATGTCCTCTGAGTTCCCTTCTGGTTCCAAATCTATGTCCCTCTCCTCACCTCAAAAAGTCAGTCAACAAAGTTTATTGAGACCTTTCTAAGGTATATTATATTGTATATCACATTGTGTGATATACAGAAGAACCAAAAGATATGACTTCTGGCCACTTATAAGTTGATAACCTAGTGGGGAAGACAGTATATGTTGAAAAAAAGGAATGGCATCCAAATTAAACGTATGAACAGTTCTCATCATAAGTACTTCCTTTTCTTCCTCCTTCTATGTTCATTTCCCATTCTATTCTATTGTCTCTTTGTCTACTTTCTTTAAGCTGCCTTCCAAGGGTTCCATGAGATGACCAGACCTCACCCCCACAATTCTTTACAACACTTCAAGCAGCTCTGCTCTAGATGTAATTTTGAAATAAACTGTCTCATTGCCAAAGATTTAAGTCCAATTCATGAAATATTCTCAGTAAGTAGATATATGGCAGTGGAAAAATTAAAATATTCCTATCATCGACAAGTACTATTATTGTCCAGGGATTTCAAAGAACTCTTGAAGTCCATACATTGAGGAAGGAAGGGTGGTTCTTTTTCAAGTCCGAAAGTTTTGATTCTACCAGACAAGCAGGAGAATTTCAACCATCCTTGCCAAAAAAAAAAAAAAGCACATTTATAAACTGTCAGGAAAAATCAAAATAAATCAGAATGACTCTTTTTTCACTTTGTTGACTTTAAAAATCTGAGACTTTCAGGTGCCTACAACATGTTACAGAAGATAAGGGATGATTGATCCATGCCCTCAAGGAGTTTACAGTCTAGTAGAGTATGAATGGTTTGTTTTCTTTCAACTCCTAGTATGGGTTCATTCTTTATCTATTCCCCCAAATTTCAGCCACAGTTTTATTCAAAAAAATTGCTCTCACAGCTGGCTAGATTTAGAATTACTCCACCATAGCTAAGAAAATTCTTAGAATTGGATTGGATTTTCAAGAGATTGTTACCCATTTCCAATATAGTGGAATGAGACTTTTGCTTCTGAAATGTTGAGTACATTCCAGAAACCATGTCCCTAGATTCTCAAAGATTTAGATCCATTCTGGACATTAGAGCAATGCTTCTCTGGAAAGACACTTACATTGAAGTCATATAGCACACCAAAGTTCTGGGCAGTTGCTTCTTCAGCTCTTGGGACTGTTTTTCTAGGTAAACTTCCATATGGCAAACCCCATAATGCCTATATAGACAGAATTTGAAACAATAGTTAGTGATCAGAGACATGGCATAAGATATATAAACAACCTTAATTTATTTTTTCAAGGTATATTCTTTCATTTATTTGAAAACCACTTTTTAAGTACTTACTCTGTTTGAAGCACTAAAAAATATAATTTACATGACCCCAATATTTTTAATGGAGAGTCAGTTTCTAATATTTAAGGCTTTCAGAAATGGTTTTGTTTTCTGGTCATAATGTAGTATACTATGTTCCCAAAATAACTGCAAAGTTCATTTTAATTTATATCAGACTTTAGGGTAGCAGTTCTTAACCAGGAGCCCATGAAATTAGTTTAAAAAATATTTTGAGAACTGTAATTCAATATAACTGATTTCTTTTGTAATCTTATTATTTCATGCATTTAAAAACATAATTTTAAGAAGGCATCATCAGATTACCTCAGGGAGGAAGGACACACAACAAAAATTAAGAGCTCCTGTTCCAGGGAGATGCTGAACTATTACAATAGGAGAAAGTGAGATCATGAACAGTCATAGATTTAGAACAGTAACTAACCCTAGAGGTCATCTAGTCTTTCATCTTACAGATGAGGAAATTGAGGTCCAGAGAGGATAAGTAATCTGTCAGAAGTCATACAGGTCATAAGTGGCAGAGCCTGGAGTTTGAATAATAATAGCTAGCATTTATATAGTGCTTTAAGGTTTGCAATGTACTTTATAAATATCATATTATAAATATTCTCTCAAAGCCCCCTCTAGATCTGACTGACCCTTTGGAACACCTGCTCCATAATTAATGAACTTCCTTGAATCTAAAACATTTTCCTTTCTCACTCCTTCCATCTACCTTTTGGCATTCACTGAGATTGACTCCCTCCTGATGAAACTGCTTCCCCCATTTTCAGCACTGGCTACACTTTTTCCAATATGCCCCAACTCACTGGTCGTGTTAGTGAAATTGGAATATTTCTTGATTTTCATTGCCACTTCCAGATTCTCCCTCTCCTATCATCACTCAGCAACCTTTCCTTTTTGAGGTTCACCTTGTACAAATTTATCATCTGATAGAGATTGTGGTGACCATTATCTACTAACCTACAGGATATTAAGTTCCTCCTTTCTCAGTAAGTTTAGTGTCTGACTGTCTTTGTCTTTGCCTAACTCCCGCCCTCATTCTAGGTGGCTTCAACATACATATTGATGTCCCCTTAAGTACCTTAACTTCCTAGGTTCTTACTCTATTCAGTTCCCATGACCTACTCCTCCACTCCACCTCAGCCACACATAGAGATGGTCTTACCCTTGATATTACCATCTTCCACAAATATTTCACCTCCATATTCATGTACTCTGAAATTTCTTTATCTGATCACAATCTTTTATTATTCTAACTTTCTCTATGCTTTTTAACCTCTCACCCTCTTAATTCTCACTGCAAGCTCCAAATCCCTTCAAACCCCCAACACTTTCTCAGACCATGACCACTACACTGACAATACTCTCCTACCTTCCTAAACTCAACCTTCCCTTAAGCCAGTTGAACTTTACACTATCCTCTATTCTAAAACCTTGTACCTCAGTCGTATTGGAGAGTATAGAGGCATCTAGGTGGCCCACTAGACCTGAAGTCAGGAAGGCTTGAGTTCAAATATGGCTTCAGACACTTACTAGCTATGACCCTGGGCAAGTCACTTAACTTCTATTTGTCTCAATTTCTTTAACTAAAAAAGGGGTTAGAAATAGCACCTATCTTACAGGGTTATCATGAGGATCCAATGAGACAATATTTGTAAAATGCTTAGCACAGTACCTGGAATATAGTTGGCACTTAATAAATCCCTCCTTTTCACTTCCTTCCTTCCTTCTTTCATGGTATATCATGATATGTCCAAACCTGAATTACTGCTTTCATCTGTCTCTTTTGCTCCTATTCATAGACTGCTGAACGGAACTGGAAGAGGTCACAAAATTATGCTGATTGGTCCACTATAAATTTCATTCTGCACTGGCTATTACTAGCTAGCTATCAGTTCATATCTCCCTTTTCTTTCTCTAAACTCCTTGAAAAAAATCTATATACTGATTGCCTCCACTTTTCTTCTATCTTCTAAACCCAAATGTACTGACTTCTGACCTCATCGTTCTAATGAAACTGATTTCTCCAAATTTGTCAAGAATCTCTTAATTGCCAAATTTAATGTCAACGTTCTAAATTTTCATTTTTCTTGACCTTTCTGGAATATCAGACACTATTAATCAGCTTCTGGATATTCTCTGCTCTCTGGGTTTTCATAACATTGATCTCTCTTATTTTCCGACCTGCTTGACTATTCCTTCATAGTCATCTTCACTGAATCTTCATTGTTCTTACTTCCCCAAAGTAAGGATGGCCTTAAAAGTTCTTCCCTGGGCCCTCTTCTTTCTCTTCTCTCTTTCTATTCTCTCCTTTGATGATATCATCAACTCCCAAGAGCTTAGTTAACATCTCCATAAAGATGATTCTCAAACATGTCCAACCCTAGTTTCTCTTCTGAAATAAAATCCTACATATCCATTTCAAATTAGATGTTCCATAGACATATCAAACTCATCATGGTCAAAATAGAACTTATTAATTATATCCCCACCTGTAGTCCTTTGATCTTTCTAGTATTCAGTTTTCTTGTCTGTAAAATGAGGAGATTGGGCTCAATGGTCTCTAAGAGCCTTTCCAGCTCTACATTTATGACTCTGTGATTCTTAGCTTTTCTGGAATTTCTTGTCTATGAAGGCACCACCATCCTCCCAATTTCCCAGGGTTTCAATCTCAGTGTTGTCCTTCACTCCTCACTTGGAATCACCCCACCTATACAATCTGTTGTGAAGTCTTGTCATTTCACAGGATTTTATATGTGTGTTTGTATGTGAGTGTATGTGTATGTATGTGAGTGTGTGTGTGTGTGTATGTGTGCATACTTCTTATCACTTAGCAACCACCCTAGTTCCAGTTCTTACCTGCTGCCTAGATTATTGATATAGCTTTCTCATCTGGCCAAGTATAAGCTCCTTGAGGGCAAATCCATTATCTTCCCAGTGATTTAGTTTCTTCATTTGTTGAATAAAGGTAATACTAACCTTATTTTTGAGAGTTACGATATGATCAAATGAGATCATAAGCATGAAAGTGTTCTGTAAAGTTAAAGCTAATATTGAAATGTAAGATATTATTTTTACCCAAGCTAGTTCATGCAACTGAACAGTGATCCCTGGCTATGGGAAGTGGGGTATAAAATAAGCATTCAATAAATATTTGTCAATTTAAGTTGAAGAAATGTTTGCACTGAGCAAAATATTTTGAAAATTATTGTATAGTGTCACTTTTCTTCTCCCATAAAGTGAATCACGCATCTCTGGATAATCATTAGGCAAAGAGTTCTGGTCAATTTTATGCAGACACTGCATTTTGTCTCATGCTCTGAACCTGCCCTACCTCCTTCCTCGCATTAGCCCTGCTATCCACTTTCCTACCCAATCTGTCTCCTTTTTCACGCTACTTCTAGACTTGTGCTCAGCTTAAGTGCTCAGCTTAAGTACGACTCTCCCCATCCAACCCTACCTTCTGTGTGTCTGATTGCCTGGATGGATTTTCTCTAGGAAAAAAAGTCATACAACAAGCTACTCTTCCTTTCAAAAATCAGAAACATATATTCCTGAGGTCATTAGTAAGTAGGTCTCTATAGCAAACTTGTCCAAAAGCCCAAAGGCATCAGAACATCCCCATAAGGGTAATATTTTGACATCTCTAAATCACCTGGCAATCATCTTACTCTTCCTTAAGGATAACAAAAAAAACCTTTTGAGAGTTATTGGTCCAGTGCGAAACTTACTTAAATGTGATTTCCAAATTAGTAATCATAGTCTCACCTCGGGTAGCATGATAAGGCTAAATGTCAGTACAAAGAGAACCATATTCACTCCATACATCCACCGCAAGAAATGAAAATAAGAGGCAACTGATGATCCAAACTGGCCTATAGAAAGGAGAAAAAAGGAATCAAAAGAAATTCTTATTTTTCTTACCACCCCAAGACAAAATTTTAGCTGAAAATATCACATCTGTTCTCTAACTCTAAAACCAACACTCTTCCCCTGTTCATAGGTGTGACTGGAAAGAATATTTGGCAACCAAGCCTTTAAATTGCATGTGCAGATATTCTCTGCCTGGTTCTATTCTACCTTGTGGAACTTGTGTGAGCCTACAGCTAACCATGTATGATTTATCACCAAAGGATTTAATACTGTGGGAAAATGAAGAATTCCATAACTGGCTGATGAGTCATTTACGGATAGGAATTAGACCTGTGATTTCACTGGTATAGCAAACTCCCTGGCGAGAAACTCTCTCTAGCAAGTCAGTATCTTATCTGAAACTTCTAGTCTCAGAGAGCTTTCAAGAACTGTAAGAATTTCAGTAATTTGCCCAGGATCGTATAGCCAATACGTACCAGAGGAGCCACTTAAATCCAGGTTTTCCTGGCTCCAAGGATGGATTTCTATCTACTACAATATGGTGATATATACAAGAGGTGCAATATATATCTTTGACTCTCTCTTTCCTTCCTGGTAAGTCAGTAAAGCTGGACTGTTTTGAGCTGCCTACATCAAATTAGAAGAGAGGGGCAGTTGGCCCCATTCCCCTACCCAGCCAATGCTGCTTCTGTATCTTTGTGTTTATTCTTTCCTGATCTTAGGTGAACAAGTATACTGATATATCAGTCAATTAAAACATTTATTAAGTACCCACTCCGTGCCAGGCACTGTGCTTAGTGCTCAGGATATAAAAAGAGGCAAAAGATAGCCCACGCCTTCAAAGAGCTTAGAATCTAATGGGAGAGACAACATGCAAACAAATAAATACAAAGTGAGCTACATATAGGATAAATAGGAAATAATTAAAAGTAGGAGGGAAGGCACTGGAATTAAGAACAATTCAGGAAGATTTCCTATAGAAGGTAAGGTTTTAGTTGGGACTCAGAGGAAGCCAGAGAGGTCACTAGTCAGAATTGAGGAGGTAGAGCATTCCAGGCATAGGGGGACAGTTAGAGAAAATGCATGTATCTATACCTACATCTATCTCTTTCTCTATCTATCTATCTATCTATCTATTTTAGGACAAGAAATAAGTTTGAGTTTTGAAAGATCCCAAAATCCTGGAAGGCCTTCAAGGAGACATCTGAGGTATCTGCAGAGTATAGCAGCTGATAACAAGGAAATGGTCTACACTAGGAGTTGAAAGACACCTAAAGGACAAATAAATTCAAAGAATCACTGAAGGAAGGTGGCAGCTTCAAGGAACATGACCCCTCAAGAATGAAAGAAGTGCTGGTTTTGAACTCAGTGAAAGAATTGATCCTCAGAGCCTAAATGAGCAACTTAGTCCAAGGAGGCCCGGGATGAAAGAAGAGCATAAGTTGTACCAGGAATTATGAATTAACCTTTTTTTGCCACACATGGTCCCTACATGTCTACCTCATTACTAGTGATATCCTACATGTGAGGCCATTCTTCTCATGGGTGCTGTATATATTTTTCAAGAGTGAGCCATAAGTTTTGAAGGGGAATGTTTTGAACCAACTATTCTCATATTTTCTTAGTAAATGCCTTCACTAAAAGCTGATTGAGTCTATTGGTTGATTGTTATTGGGAAGCACACCAGTGGGAACTCTGGAACTATAGAATGTAGAGAGTAACACGCACAGGGTTAATTGAGGTATCAGTTACCCCTTTTGGTAACCAACGTGCAAGTGTTCATGCTAGTGCAAGTTGGGGGAATAAAAGCAGAGTGAACGTTCTTCAAACAAGGGAAAGCTACTTTGTAGCTCAGACTGTTGTTGCCACAGTTTGTTACTATTCAAAGCTAAGCATTTCTTCTCACAGTTATACAATGCCTTCATCCCAGAGAACCACTATAACTGATTCTGCCTGCCAAGTTCATGTGTCCACAGGCATTGTTGTTCAGCAGCTGTGTGGGAGAAGATGAAATTTTCCAGTAACTTCTATATTCATCTAGAACCTTTGGATAATGGAAAGTTCTCTTTATTTAATATTATGGTTAACTGAAAGGAATGAAATAATATTCAAACTAATATTAGCCCGTTCTCCACCCTTACCTCCCCCCCAAAAAAAAGAGTAGGAAGAGGAGTAGCAACAATAAAGAGAAGACATTTGAAATCTTTTACTTTTACAGAGGCAAGTAATTCTGTGATTATCACTGTAAGTTAAAAAAATACATATAGTTGTTAGTTTCTCCCTAGAGTATTTAATAAAATTAAATAGTTCAATTTGATTCAATAAAATGAAGTGCCTAGACACTATGGAAGCTAATAATAATATTAAGAAGACGAATAAGAAACAGTTATTGCCCTCAAGAAGCTTCCCTAGAAGTTCTCTACATCAATGAAATCACAGGTATACCTCCATCCTCCAAAAAAAAGGATAGAATAGGATACAATAGAATGATAGAGTAGGAATAGAACCTCAGAGATTAGTAGCTCTAAATCTAAATCCAATTTATGATCATAATTGCATTCCTGCATAAGAAATCACTTGAGCATAATTTAAGAAAGGTACATCTATATTTTATGTCATGGAAGTGTAAGAAGTAAAAAAAAAAAATTCTAATAGTATCTGGTTTTGATAAACATGACAAACCATTGTAACCAGACACATTATCTGAGATAACATTAATGCTAAAGCAGCTCTGCCCCTCTTTTGACATTTGATCATTTAGTTGGCTCCCAATGATTTCATATCTTTTCATTACCAGGTTATCTATTTTCTCTAATAAGGACCCAGTGGGCACTTAATCAGCTAAGGATGCCTCATGGCTCAGGTCACTCCACATTTTATTGAATGGAATGGATTACAAATTCATTACCTGAAGAAGGAGCCTGCTCACTTCTACAGTTATCCAGGATCAATAAATTCTTGCCTGGAAACAAAATACTTTCGTGCAAGGTTCTCATCCAAGGACCACTGAACAAGGAAAGAGAAGGCATTAAGTGGCCCCAAGTTGGATAAAATAATTTTCTGGAGGACTTAAATTACCCCAGGGCAAATCATATTTTCAAACTTTAACCTTAAGGTTCAACAAGACCAATCTCCACATTTCACTGATGAATAAAGAAATTGAGACCCTGAGAGGGTAAAGCACCGCAAGTCAGATATTGTTATTTTCCCTGGAGAAGTTGAATAAAGACATAGAAAAGAATCCCACAGGTTGAGAATATATGTTGAGATCTACATAGGTGGAAGGAATATCCACTTCAGTGAGTTCAACGATCCATCTGAACACTTCAGTATTCATTGAAATTAGCAAGGATAAGTATGATGTTGTTTAAGTGTTTCAGTCATGTCCAACTCTTCATGACCCTATTTGGGGTTTGGTTTTTTTTGGGGGGGGCTTTGGCATAGGGTATCTACTTTATGTGTTGTATAGGCTTTTCTTGATTTCTCTGACATGAAGGATACCAAGGGAAAACTTCAACTGCCCTAAAGTGCACTATATTAATAATACTTTCCCAAACAGCTTGCTGAAGACCTTTGACACTTTGATGTCGAGATGCTATCCACCTGTCAACCCCTGCCCTTGCTATATGACCAACTCAATCTCTTTCTTGTTGTTATTGGTTTTGTCAGCCCAAAGTAATATACATAATGACTACATCATCTCAAGGGAAAGGATATTAAAACAAAATTGAATATGTAATTATAGTGATTAAACTTATCTCGAGACAAATCTTGAGGATATGTGAATACAGAAGCAAGGGAATATGGGTGTTGAATATTGAAAATACTGTCAGACAGGGTGGATGTGTTGGCTATTTCGCTAATTTTTTCTTTTCTTTTCTAATCATTGTTTACAAGAATAGTTTTGGGGGGAGGCAAGGGAAGATATTCAGTAACAAATATGATGTTGGCAGTTGTGCAGATTTGTTTTGCTTGATTATTATTTGTTACAGTACCAGTGTTTCATTTTTCCTTTTTACATAGAGATGGATTGGTGGGAGGGGGAGCTAGTGATAGTGTTATCAAAAGAAAGAAGAAGGAAAAATGGGGCATTGAAGCCTTTTTCAAATGTACTACAGAAAACAGAAAGAAGTCAGAAGGAAATACAGAAAAGAAGTACATATTTTAAATGTTAAATGTATAATTATTAAAGTTAAAAAAGCAAGCTGTACATAAAGAGATTCACAGTTTTATTTGTTATCCTCTTTTCCTCTTCTATTTGGTAAATGAAATATTCTTTTTAATTGATATGCATTAAATTCAGAAGAAAAACAAAATTTTAAATGAATATAGTATAAAAATAAAAAACCATCAATATTTTTAAAAGATGGACAACTATTTAATCTTCTCTAGAGTGGCTGAAATACTAATTTGGGTTTCAAATAGGGTCTGCTTCCCAGAGGTCAAAGTGTCAAGGGTCTTCAGCAAGCTGTTCAGGAAAGCATTGTTAATAAAGAGCAACCCTGTGGGTAACCCTTGGGCTTTGTTCATGTGTCTTTCACGGGCTTAGCATTCCAATAACACCCTCTAGCATCCAAAATACCATTCAGTTTCTTCAAGCATCTCTGTGAAGAGCTCTGGGGTACATGTTTTTAATTTGTTTTTTCTTAATGAGGAAGGTGAAGGTCAGAGAGATTCAGAGAGTGTCTAGCTCACAGATTCTCAGCCGTCAATGGAATGGCAAGGAATTTCTAACAACCAAATACCTTCCACTCTTCACACAACAATGCCTTCCAGCTATAATACTTTAAGTGAAGTTATTATAAGATTAAGCACAAAAAAAAACAACAATGTAGGCAATTTGTTAAGAGATATATATTTTCTAGGATCTTGGTAAGCTATTTTTTCCCATCTAACTCTTTTAATGGTTTGCTGTCCAGTAATCGTAAAATAATCTGGTCATGGAATCACAGATTTATAGATAGATGAGAACTTAGAGCTTGACCCCTTCATTCTACTGAGAAGAAAACAAACCCAGAAAGGCTGGTTCTATGACTTGCTCAGTCATGTAGGCAGTAAGCTGTAGAGCTTGGATCAGAACAGAAGTCTCACTGATTCCAAATCCAAGGTTCTTTTCACAACACCATAGTAACATTTCAAATTTGATCTTTCACTTGCTTAGATATCTAAAATTGACCACTGGCTTAGCCAAGTCATTCATACATCCAGATTCCTTCTTCTGTTCATCTTCTGTGCAACTACCAAAATAATATCCCAAAGGTGCAAGTATGACCAAGTTAGCTTTCTCTAGGGCTCTACTCAGCTTCTTCCTCCTCTTCCCCTCCTCCTTGAATTATATTGTATTTATATATCTGTTAAATGTATTTCCTAGGTAAAATAAAATCTAAGTTCCTAGAGGGCAGAAAATTTTTTTTCATCTTATAATCACAGCACCTGCATTGCATTTAGCAAGCAATTAACAATTTTGAAAAATTGAATGAAAACTTCTTGGTGTCAGTTTATGTTAGTCGTCTTTCTTTGATAGGATAACTTCTAAACCAAGTCTAAGAAGTTAACAGTGTATAGATCTTTATGCTTCCTCTCAGCTATCAGTCAAAATAATATATTCTCTTCATAATTTTCATTTAATAGTTTAAGAAATCAAACCTTTTTTGTATAGTTAAAAATATGTGTGCTTGCATAATAACCTCATGCAAAAATAGTAAATATGCAATAAATCAAGAAATCACTGCCTCATGCCATCAAATCACTACCATTTCATTATATGACTAATTATGATTTTAAAAAAATGCCTCTAAGAAAAACAACCTGTAGCTGTTGTGTGTGTAGAGTGTGTGTTGTCAAAAGAATTGTGGGATATATGAACCTCTACCTTCTTTGCTCTTCTAATATGTCATAGGCATGCTTTTCAAGAACAGCTGTAGAAACCTATCCTTTAAAATACTCTGTAATGAGTCAATCAACAAATACAGCTTAGTTTTATACAAATGAAGTGAAGTCTCATTATAGGTGAATTCAGGACAGCTTAACTAGGAAATCTGACTAGATAATGCAGGTGGGAAAAGCCCATTATTATTTAAATAATTCATTTTTGCTATAGCTGTCCTGGTAGTTAAACTTTGCTGGGAGTTGAGATCACTCGAGACAGGAAAGGGGATAGAGGTATGGAGGAGGGGCACTCTGGACCTCAGCTGGCTTAGGTCAAGGACGGGAAATTGAAAGCTCCTTAACAGTACTCACAATAATCTTGTTAGATTCAGCTTTATCTTTAAGAATGTATAGTTTTATTATTCACAAGCATTTTGTCTGAAGAAATTCAGGGGAAGATAAGATGAGAGGATAAGACCCAGCCTTGAAGAAGTGGCACAAGATTCATTGGTCACCTACAGGATTGGGATGGGGGAGGAGGGCCAGTGGGAGATGACCTCCAGAAGGCTACACTTATGTCAAATCAGAAGAGATTGGGTCAAGGTCATCAGAAGACAAACTAAGTCATTAATAACAAACAAGTTCTTTGAGATTGTTTCTCGTATGAAGAGTAGCCCACACACATACTGGAGCTGAGACTTTGCCAAGGAGGTTACAATGGGAATGAACAAGAAACAAAACAACTAAGGTTAATGCATGTGTGGTGTTTAGTTTGGTGAGTGAGGAGCAATGTCTGTGAGCATGACAGGTATGGGAGCAGCAAGGAATGAATGAATCTTAGGAGAGTCTTATGTTCAGAGGGAAAGTTAGATATTGACAAGTTTGAGCAGATTGGCATTTAGGTTGAAGTGAAATGGACTCAAAGTAATTAGATAAATCAAGGTTTTTTCTATCAAGACCTTGGAAGATCATAACAGAGAAAGTTGGGAAGCAATAACATATATCTGAAATTTACTGGAAAATGGCAAAACTATCAGAAAGAAATTTGAAGATCACTTACACAAACCTTATCATTTTCCAGAGGAAGAAAACTCTAGTCAGTGTAGCATTGGGAGTAGAATTCATCTTCTTCCTCTAAACCCAGTGTTCCTTCCGCTAGACTAGAATCATAGATCTGAAGGTTGTGAAGTGAATGGAAGTATTATCTGGTGTGCTCCATAGTACTGCTGTGAAGATGCAGCCAAAAGCTTCCACTGTATATCTTTTATTTTGAAATGGTTGAAGTGTCACTTCCATGATATAGTAGAAAGAGCATTATGCCAAGTCAGAAGAATTGGCTTCAAATCTGCACTCTAGCTCCTACTCCTTACCAGTTCTGTGCTCTGAGCAATTCACTTAACCTTTTTTTAGCCTTAGTGTTCACATCTGTGAAAGGGGAACAATGGTACTCACAGTACTTGCCTCAATAGTTATGAGAAAAATGTTTTACAAACTAAAATACTGCATCATAGATTTAGAGCTTAGAGTTTGTCTAGCCGAAGTCTTTCACATAACAGATGAGGAAACAAAATCAGAAAGATCATGTGACTTGATTAAGATCACTCAGGTGGTATACGTTATGGCTGAGATTTAAACCTAGACTCTATGACTGCAGTACTCTTTCCACCACACCCCAGATAAAAATAAGTAACGATTAATTTGGTAATTTAAATTGTTTCCATTTTAAAGTAAGAGACAGGATCAGAGACCAAAGAGGGAGATAAATTACCAAAAGTTATCCAATCATATCAAGAAAGTATCACCTGGGTTATCTTTCTATTGAGTCACTATTTTAATTCCATGCCATTTTACTTAACCTGCAGGGAGCTCTTTTCTCATGATTTAGAGAAGAAGTGTGTGTGTGTGTGTGTGTGTGTGTGTGTGTGTGTGTGTGTGTGTGTGTGTGGCGGGAGGGGGTGGGAATCAGATCCTATTCAAAATCCCTGGATATCAAAGCATTGGGAAATTACAGCAAGGTGACTGCTTGATTTGGGCTTTCAATAAAAACTATTTCCATATTTTCTTGAATTCTCTTCTTAATTAAGGAAATTATTTATAGGTTGCTAAAGAGCAGAATCCAAAGCACGATATACATAATGACTGCAATCACTTCAGAGAGGACAAGACTCAGTGCAACATAATTCAGGTCAAATACAATGAACGTTGGTTCTAAATGATAGAGATAGGAAAAAAAACACCCACTTCTATGTATTCCATTAAAATGTAAGTGATAGGAGTGGGGAGTTACATTTGCTGGCAGTTGTCATTTCTCTAGATTAGATGACTTTATGCTCTACCTTTATAAAGGACAAAGTGTATGATATTATGGATAGAACATTGGTCTTAGAACAGGAAGACATCCATTGCTTATGCAGCCCTGAACAAATCATTTAACTTGTCAGCGCTCTAGAAAGCCCTATACCCCTTTAAGACTATTATATAAGTTGTAGAGAAGTTGCTGACATTTACTAGTAGTTTCTTCATGAAGAAATTTCAGGAATCAATGAATAAAATTGTAGGTCTAGTCCACATCCCTATCTCTACTAAGGAGAAGGCCAGTCTTGTTTATTAAGTGATATGTCAAAACAAAATTTTAAAAATTTTAATTAATTTTTAAGTAATGGAATCGATCTTAAAATCCTGGGATACTTTACCTATTAAACTTTTTGATTAGAAAATGAATTTTCTCCGTTATCTATATGGCAGCTTCCTACTGTGAGGGATTGTCTGATGTTGGCTACTGCCACGTGGGGGTTGTGGCAAGATGGGGTAGGAACAGGATACGGGGAAGTAGCCGGAGCATGTGCTCCTAAGGCAGGGGCTGTGCCATGTGGGAGTGGGACGGCAGAGAACGAGCTTCCTTTGTCACGTCCTCTCCCTAGGTGCAGCACTAACCCCAGACGTCTCCTTCCTGTATCCGGGCCTAGCCTCCTGTGTCACGTCCTCTCCCTTGGTGCAGCGCTAACCCCAGACATCCCCTTCCGGTATCTGATCCTACAATCAATGACTAGTAGGCGGGCTGAGGAGGAGGGGCTAGGAAGGTATATAGGGGCGGTAGGGGTCGGAGCTCGCTCTCTCTTGCTCCTGCTCTCTTGCTCTGGCTTTCCTGCTTGGCCTTGCTGTGATGGCCTCTGAATAAAGCTCGAGTGTTTGCACCTCCTGATCGGCTCGTCTCTGTGTTTATCCAGGTGGGCACTGAAGACTGGTAAGTATGACCCTGGCAGCCTGCTCCTTATAGGAGGAGAGTGCACGGTGCGACCGGCACATCCTACCTTATCAATGTTTATTATATAGCAGAAATTTTAAAATGAGTCCTAAAATAGACTCCCTATTAAAAAAAATTCATTGTTAATTGTTAGGATTACTGTATCATATTCATAAGGATCACACACATTTAATGTTATATTCATCATAAGAATAACAATATGGTGAGTTGTCATTGCACATGGCATCATTCAGCCTGTATAGAGCAGAAAGTAACACAGAGTCATATAAAAAAAGTTTTGCTGTAATCTAAGAAGTGAGGGTGGAGCTAAATGACTCTTTCTCCTGGGCTGATACATACTCAATATGTATAATTATTTACACTATAGGAAGCTTCACAGCATGAAAGAGACAACTATAAAGAGGTGGGTTTTTTTTTTCCTTTTTTCTTTCTTTCTAATGGGTCAAAGACAGGGAAAGACATTTGACAAACTTGGCAAATCTGGCTGAAATCAACAATTTATCCTAGACAATCTCCCTTCCCCTGCTACTCCACCCCCCACCATGGTTTAATTAGCACTTACTTTCAACAGCTTTGATTTTATTTTCCCATGGTATACATGCCTGCTTGAAGATTTCAAAATCACGAAGAAATTTTGCCCATTTCTGAAAAGAAGACACAATCATTGGTTCTCAGATTGTTGAAAATCAAGTCAAATGGAGAATGAACCCCACTAAGACTACATGGAACATCAAGTGTGTGAACCAATGGACCACCATGGAGCACTGAACCTTCTTGCAAAAGAGGGAAGAGGACAGAAAATTCCAAACTCCTCTACCCATTACCCAGCCCTGTTCCTAGACAAGGCTACATCTAGTCAATTCAATGGAGGAGACCATAATAGAGAGTAGATTGTAAGCCCCTTGAGGGCAAGGACTGTTTCCTTCATTTTTTTTAATATAACCCACTTAGTGCCTAGAACATAGTAAGCACTTAATAAATGCTTGTTGATTGATTAATTGATTGAAAAACAGTTTTAAATCTACAATCTGAGGGGAAACATTGTTATGTGGTTAAGAGATGAACTAGGTAATCTTAGAATGTCAGACCTAGGAGAAATCTTAGAGGTCAACTAGTCCAAATCTTTCATGTGACAAATGAGGAAACTGACACCCAGGGTTAGGAAGTGACCTGCTTCAGGTCACATTGTGAGTTAATGACAGAACAAGAACAAGAACAAGAACTCATATCATCTGACTCTTAAGGCATCACTCTTTCCCTGATCAATGCACCCCTCATCCCTTTTGCAAATGTGCAGAGAATTCCAGGATTCCATACGACTACACGGACAGAACCCAACCAATAATAAGAGTCAATTCTGTAGTGTAAAACATGTCGAAAGCAGAGAAATCCAAAACCATGTATTATTCTCCACTTCAAATTCCAGCCCCGCCTTGAAGATGTTCTGGATTCCCTTCAGCTACTAGTTAGTGCTCTACCCTCCAATGCTGCCTTGAATTTATTAATTCACACCTGTTCTCCCCTATTAGAATGTACATTCCCTAAGAGCAGGGAGTGCCTTCACTTTTGTCATTGTGTTCTCAGAACCTATTGCGTAGTAAGGACTTAATAAGAGCTAACATTTATATAGAGCTAACTATGTGCTAGGAACAATGCCAAGTATTTTAACAATTATCTCATTTGATCTTCACAATAACCCTGGGAGGTAGGTGCTATTATTGTCTTCATTTTAAAGATGAGGAAACTGAGGCAGGCAGAAGTTAAGTGATTCACCCAGGGTCACAGAGCTAAGTGCCTGAGACTGGATTTGAACTCAGGTCCAGGGCCAGTGGCTCTATTCACTGAGCCACCTAGCTGCCCCTTGATTGAATGCTCAAATGATTAATTGATTCAGCATGGATTAAAGGGCAGAAACTAGTTCAAAAGTATAAGAAACAGCAAGAGTGTACTGGAGCCTGTTCTAAATGGCTTGCACGAGCTAGTTGTTAAATTTTCAGTGTGTGCATTTACACTTCAGAAATCTGCAAATACTACAGATCAGGACTTGGTTTGTCGTTTTGTTGATTGTCTAGAGTTAAGAAAGTGATAGACAAAATGTTCATAATATGATGAAAAAAAAATGTGTCCTGTGTTCATTTTTTTTTAGAGAGCCTGTTGTTAAACATTTATATAGGGGTATGTAGCATACCCTTGGCAAGCAGGAAAATTGGCCTGGTAATCCAACTGGTAAATGGGAAAAAGGGTAATCCTGGGTGCCATGGATCATCTGTGCCTAGAGATAATACCATAACTAGCCGATTTTGCACCTGCAGCAAAAATATTCTATCCCAATGGTACGGCCTGCTTGAGATAATGGAATAGGAGATACATATTTTTTTCTGTCCCCTTCAGCTTCCCGTTCCTGAGGAAAGTGCCTCATTTGCTTAACTTTTGTTATGATTGTGCCTGGGAAAAGCAGATGTGAATGTCAAACAGTAAACTCCTTCAGAGTAATAATAGTGTACTTGGCTTTGCTGCTATCATTTCAGCGGCTTCCTCTTCTAGAAGCATCAACAGTATAAAGCAACTTTCACAACAGAGAAAGTCAACAAATCTGAAAGTATGGAAGAAATGGCCTAACTTTATAGGCATGATAGCTATTTAGGTCGCTTGGCTTCCTACCCCAATTGACCATGTGGCCATAAGAAAACTATTACCATGTCAGAGAATTTTGGGGAAGTTTCCCAGCAATGAATAGATTTGGAGTTTTGAGACACTTTAGATATGACTTTGTCCAACTTTCTTATTTTACAATGAAGAGAAAAGAGGTTCAGAGAAGTTCGGATTTGGTCAAGCTAGACAGTGAACTCCCAAAAAGATGGATTGTTTTTGCCTTTCTTTGTATCCCTAGTGCTCAGCAAAGTGCCTGGTACTTAGTAGGCACTTAACACATGCTTGTTGACTTGACCTTACCAGACACAGAGAGGCATTATGGTGCAAGCATTGAGTGTTCAAGATCTGAAGTCTGAGGACCTGGGTTTAACTCGGGTTTAACTCTTATTTCTGATGGTTTGTTGTTGTTGTTCTTGTTTTACCTTGGGCAAAATCTTTAACCTTCCTGGACCTCAGTTGCCTAATCTGTAAAATGAGGGGTTTAGACTAGATAACTTCTGAGGTCCCTATTAACTCTAGATTTATGATTCCCATGGAAAGAAGCCCAGAGATATCACATGATCTGCCCAAGGTCAAAGATGTAGACAGCAGGGTACAGGACGAAGAAAACTGAACGTGGAATCAGAAGATGCAAGTTCACTTCCCAAATCTGCCACTTGCTACCTGTGTCATCTTGAGCAAGATGCTTCTCCTCTCTGAGCCTCGATTTCCTCATCTGTAAAATGAAGAACTAGGAGGACTAGAAGACCTCCAAAGTTTCTTCCATCTCTAAATCTGCGATCTAAGTGGCAGAGCTGGGATAGAACCCCAGTCTTCTGACTCCAAACCCAATGTTCTTTCCGTGAATACTACTAACATTTGTAATAACAGTCGGGGCTTCTTTGACAGAATACCTAATATAATACACAAAAAAGTACGTACTTTCTTGTGCTATTCTTTCTCACTCCCAATCCCTTGCCCCACAAGGGTTGATTCCCTTGTCAGAGAAAAGCCAAATGGTCTTTCAGTATTCAAGATGTATTGAAAACAGCAAAGGTATGCTTGGAGCCTTGGGCTCTCTCCTTAGCTCCCAAGGAGTGAGGATGTAAGGGACAATATTTATAAAATGTGTAATTAACAGGAAGTTGCAAACTCCTCCTTTACTATTGAAAAAAAATCCTTCTGTAAAAATACTTACTTTTTTCATCATCATCTTAAATGCAAACCATCGTTTTCCTTTTCCTTTCCCAAGTGCCCCTTCATTTGCACTTACAAATTCTTTGGCTTCCCTTGCAAGAGAAAAAAAAAAGTGAGAAGGGGAGAAGTATAAGCAGATGTTATGTTAAGATGGAAATTATCTCCTCTCAACTAATTTTGAAAAAAACCTCATGTTTCAAATTAACAATGAATTTCAGACATTTGAAGAACTCTTTCTATCCATGTCATGGTTATAGAGGAACTACCAATTCTACCTTCTAGGGTGGTGGTGTTGGTTGTTATTTGTACTTACCTTCCTCCAACTTACATCCACTCCAGCCAAAAGTTAACATTTACACACACTAGAGAGAAGACGACCTCAATGCCGTCACAACTCCTAAATCCCAATGCTGAGATCGAAATGGCATTGGTCCACAGAACCCCCTAGAGATCTGGCTATATCTCCAGTCATTTGTCACCCAGAGAACCAGCATCAGAGACAACTTCTTATGGGTGAAAGATCAGAATCTTGTGGCCTTCAAATATGGAAGGACTCAAACTCAGTTTGAGAAGGAATAGGCCAAGAGAACATAAGCATGACTATAGCCATCTAATGAACCATGTTATCCAACTGATATAGGTCCCCCCACAAAAACTAAAGTAAAAAGGTATTTAAGGAAAGAAAAAAAAAAGGAAAGTCATGATATTCCTAACTTCTTTTGAACTTGTTTTCTAATTTTTACTATGGTGCTGGTTAATTATCAGACCCTGAACATGTAAGCCTATGATTATTTTAATGGCTAAATATAATACATAAGGACTTTCAGGCTTTCACATTCTACCTAGGAAGAAACACCTATTTTTTTCAGGCCCTATTACTTACAAACTGTCGTAAATGACACAGGGACATATCTGAAAACAGCTAAAAGGCAGGCCTCTGGTACTCTATGACTTTACCTATACAGGGAATGGAAGAAGTTTCCACAGCATTCTGGCACTTTGTGTACTGGTTTTAATTCCAGATTCATTTCCTGGTTTTTATATTTTTTTTGTTGGCAGAAACAGGGAAGAAAGTTAGGGCAAACTGACATCAGAAAAATGAATTGCCCATCAGTTTGCAATCCAGAAAAGGACTGCATTAAAAAAATTAAAAATGACTTGTCTAATTTTGCCTAACAACATTTATTCTTGAATTTGGGGCTCTTTGGAAACTATACTGTGGCAAGTTAGGGCCAGATTATCCACAACTCAACTCTCATTTTATTTGAGCTGGGTTGATTTTAGCTACGTTTCCCCTCAAATACATGTTTCTGCATAGGTAGGGTTTTGGCTTGTGCCAAAAAATGAATGATTCATTGGCACGTGAAATTGAACCTATAAAAAGAGAAGCTCAGTGGAGGTTTTTACTAAAAATTACAATGAATACATAGAATGTATTTCTATATGCAGCCATTTGAACAGATATTCAGAGAATTAGTAGTAAACATAATTATTGATAGTATTCATAGAATAATTTTACATATATATGTGTATATATTTACATATATATCTATTGGTATCTAATGGTAGCCATCTCTAGAGTAGCGGGGGGAGGAAAAAAAGGAATTTACATGATAACTTTGTTATATACTTAAAAGAAGTAGCAAGTCATTCATAATAGATGTGCAGCTTCATGGGCAATCATTTTTTTATTATACTATGTTATGGAAATGCTTGTTTTATTTCATGAATTATAAATAAAATAAATCCACGTATGTTTCTACATTGATATTTTAGAAGCTAAGAATATAGCTCCATCATTCAGCAGAGTGTCTAGAGTTGTCAAAGAAAACAAAAACCTTCAAACAATTTGATGAATATGATGTACATACACCCTTAGAGCATGTAATAATATATACAAGCACATATTGCCTAGGTTCTGGGTATTTAATAATGTGCTATCTTTTGTATGTGACAGTAACACTATTGTCCTACTATTATAAGGTGAGAAGTAAGGTAGTGTAGTGAGTGTAGGGTTAGCTTTGGAGTTAAGAAGACCAGATTCAAGCTTTCTCTCAGATATATCAACCAACCAAGCATTTCCTTTGCACTAAGCAATAGAACATTTGCTAGACACCTGTGTTTCAGGGAACATGAGACATGAAGTCATTTGACCTCTCAATGACCTATAGAAACCAGGACTACAAATAATAGAGGGATTGCCAATCTGCATTGGTGGAGGGAATTTCTATACTGGGAGTTTCCAATAACAAATGGAATTATTGGTTTGAACCAAAAACAACATTAGTAGGACATGAGCTTTGAGTTGCTTTTCTAGTTGTTGTTGTGCAGTCGTGTCCAGCTTAATATGACTCCATGAATAGATATACATATAGCTCTATCAGTAGTTGGGATAGCTAGGTGGTACAGTGGATAGAGTGCTGGGCCTGGAGTCCAGAAGACTCATCTTCATGAGTTCAAATGTGGTCTCAGACATTCAGACTCAGACACCTGTGTGACCCTGGGCAAGTCACTTAACCCTGCTTGCCTCAGTTTCTTCAGTTTGCCAGTAAAATGAGCTGGAGAAGGAAATGGCAAACCACTCCAGTATCTTTGCCAAGAAAACTCCAAATGGGGGTCACTGAGTTAGACATGACTGAAAAACAACTGAAAACCCTTATGACCCTATGGCCTATGCTTGTGAGCTGGCTAGCTGGAGGTTAGTACAGTTGGTGACTTCAGAACACAGAAAAACTAACTGGCCCAAATTAGATTCTAACACATACTGAAGCTTAAATGCTCTGGCCACATAATGAGGCAATGAGACTCATTGGGAAAAACTCTCATGTTGGGAAAGATTGAAGTCAAAAGGAAAAGGCAATGACAGAGGATGAAGTGGATAGATAGTATCTGGAAAAAATGAAAGTGAGTTTGGACAGACTTCGAGAGACGGTGGAGGATAGAAGGGCCTGGCAAGTCCTTTGAGTCCATGGGGTCAGGAAGAATCTAACGCTACTGAGGAACAGAACAGCAGCAGTAAGCCTCTGCTAGAATCAAGCTCTAACCAACCCCCATCTGCACGCAGTGCGCTGTTGTTAAGATCAAGATGCTGCATCTCCAAAGAAGGGATAAAAAGTGTTGGAAGTCTGAAGAGCTGGAAGGGGAAAAACGAGAAAGGAAGAGGGACCGCTGACAAGAAATTGCATTGCATTTGCATATAAAACTTCAGCACAGATAATAGCTGCAGGCTGTCTTCTGTTTGCTGTAGGGTTACTGATCCATGCATACCTATATACATTTATAAAAAACCTATAAACTGTTCCATTGTTTAAGGGTTAAAGGATTTGTCCAACATGACATGGCAGCTAGTAACTGTCAGAGGCATTAGAGTGAGGTTTTCTTAACACCAAGTCTACCATTCTATGTAATGCTAATCACTGCTCTGACATATTAGTATATAATCATTTTAGTAATTTTAATAGTATTTTTCCAATTACAGGTAAATACAATTTTTAACATTTATTTAAAAAAATTTGTTGAGTTTCAAATTTTTCTCACTCTCTCCTTTCCCCTTCCCTAAAATGGCAAGCAATTTGATATCTTGTATCTGTTATATATAATATAGTAATATGATTTTATATTATATTTTATATTATTATAAAATAATTGTGTTATATAAAATTAATTTATAAAATCTGAATATATTAACATATATGTTATATCATAGCAATTTTAATGACAATGGGTGTCTGTCATGTAGGCCAGGTGTATTCTGACCCTATAGGCAAGTTTCAGATCTGTAAAGCTGAATCAAGAAGCAAATAATTATAATCATAATCATAATAATCCTTTCACAAAAAAACCCAAACAAACAGTAAGGACATACAGAAGCATCTCTTTAAGGTCCACAACCTCAGGGATCCCCCCAACTTAATAATAACATCTGAAATAGTCAAATTGCAAGAACTTTTTTCCTTTTCTGTTATTGGTTGATGGAGGTGGAATTTAGATTCCATATTAAAAAAGCCTTCATGCTTTTGGCCTATCCCCTTTCCTGATGCCCTATGCAGACATCTGAAACTACCCCTCAGGGATGGAAGCCTAGGCAGAACAAATAACTAAGATAAGGGCATGGCTGATATAATAGATAGTAAATAGTCCTTGGCATCAGAAAGACCTCTGAGATACTCTGATACTTTGTATCTCCAGAGTTAGCACAGTACCTGGCAAATAATAAGCACTTAATAAATATTTGTTAATTGAGGCTAGCTAGGTACAGCTAGGTGGTGCAGTGGATAGAGCGCTAAGCCTGGAGACAGGAAGATTCCTCCTGAGTTCAAATCTAGCCTCAGACATTTACGAGCTGTGTGACCCTGGGCAAGTCACTTAATTCTGTTTGCCTCAGTTTCCTCATCTGTAAAATTAGCTGGTGGAGGAAATGGCAAACCACTTCAGTATCTTTGCCAAGAAAACCCCAAGTGGAGTCACAAAGAGTGGGACATGACTGAAAAATGACTCAACAGTAACAGGGTGATCAGAGGCAAGTAATTTAATTTATAAGATTATAAATATTAGGGGGCAGCTAGGTGGTACAGTGGATAGAGCCCTGGCCTTGGAGTCAGGAGGACCTGAGTTCAAATCCGGCCTCAGACACTTGACACTTACTAGCTGTGTGACCCTGGGCAAGTCACTTAACCCTGATCGCCTCACCAAAAAGCAAAAAAAAAATTATAAATTATAGAAGCTACTCTAAAACTACAGATTACAAATGAGTTACTAATTTGTTATCAGTGGAGTTTCCACTTTGGGATTTCCTTATATTAAGGAAATCAGAGATCAAGATCACCTCCACTACCAAATAAGAAGAACATAAAGGACATCCTGGGTCTTTAATCATTCTTATGTTACTTTTTACGTGAGTCTCCAATTGGGAAAATTTGCACATGTCACTAAACTGCTATAATTCTACAACATTATCTTCCATTCTCAGGGTTCTAACTTTTAAGTTGCAAACAAATGACCCTGCTCTATGAGCTATTAATTATGAAGAACAGAATTTAGTTTTATAATCAAATTAAACTTATAATAAAATTTAGTCTGATACATATAATGA